CAACGACATGCTGATTGCAGTGGGACTCAAACTTGCTATCCTCTGATTCTAAGATCAGCGCACTAACCCACTGAGCCACAGCCCCCCATCTTCTACTTATGTGTGAGATACTGTTGCGTCTAAGCTACTTAATCTTCAAATTCTTCTTCACATGGCAACACACATACATTATAAATTAAGTTGATTTTCTCATCAAAACCACATTATGTTTTTGGAAGATGTTAATCAATTAAATGTATGTTATAAGAATCTCACGTCTTGTACAACTATATTGCTGTTCAATGTCCGCACTAAAACAGGATTCTCGTCCATTAAGCAGAATTATTACGAAAAATATATATAGTTTCAACCTTGTTTTTGAATGTCAGCATGTCCTGCCCTTTACCATGACTTCAGCAGTTTGTCCTATTTTCATATTTGCGATGACAGTCAGCTGGCAGTGGTCAGTGCTCACTGTGTGCTGCTCAGGGCGGGCTGAGACTCACCCAGTGCATCCTCTCTCTGGGTGACACATGGTTAAATGGCTGCACAGTCCCCCCAGCTATGTGTCTGTCTCAGCATTAGAGCTCTCACAGCCGCTGCCTTCAGCCACTAAGCTGCCAACAGCACATTTTATTTGAATACTTGCAGCGGCTGCACATTCTCTGACACAGTCTCAGAGAATGTTCTGAATTGCTGCGACATTGTTGACAAGTTGGGGACACGAATAATGTGAAGAGCGAGGCGATAACTGGATCATACCATCTTGACTTTTTCTTGGTGGGCAAAATGAGGGTTAGGGTTAGGGGTAAGCCTTGTAACTTAAAGTAAAGTTAGCCTTAAGAAGTATATATCGACATCCCATTTTTTTAGACTTCCAAATGTCAAGATCAAACATCGGACGGAAAATTCTGATATTGGTCAGATTTTACTTCAAAATTAGGGTTAGGGTTAAAATGGCATTGAAAATCTAATTTAAGTCAATAAATCAATGTGGAGGATTTGTATTTACTTAATAGTATTTCAACATGTTTGTGATAATGGTGTGAATGATAGCAGGTTTGAAAGTCGTGATCTGCTATCAACAATGAAAATGACTCCAATCAGAATGATGTTGATCAGAACACTTTCAGTATCTATTTCAAATGCATGTTTTATTATAAGGGCATCTGGAGAGTGCAAACCTCCAGCAAGGCCGTTTCAACACAGTATAAATTAATATCTGCCCAATTTATCGGAACATGTATTTGATTCATCTTTAGTAAACCCTTCCATGAAGATAGGGCCAGTTGTTCTTCCATAATCATGGAGGCAGACTTAAAATAATTTAACTCAAAATCAAAACTACTTAAGTGAAGGCAGAGCTGTAACAATGCTACTTGGTCTCTAATTGATAAATAGTTTGAGAGTAATATTAATTTAGGCCTACATTTCCATCCCTTTTTTATTGGAATATTACAGTGACTGTTATGAAATGAGTCACTCTTGAACACAATGTTCCTTACTGGGCTGAATGTCTAATGAAAAAACCAAGATACAATGGAAACTGTTGTCATTCTGATATGGATTCCTGGAATCCTGTTGAAAGACCCTTTCCCCACCACCAACATTTTAGACCTAACTTTCTGCCTGGTTATTTTTTACCATTTGCCTCTCAGCGTACAATGTTAAATCAGGTCAATCAGCGTATTTGTGCGTTTTACTGTGATCTATTTTACTGTGTGCTCTTTGTCAGGAAATCATCTAAAAATAAACGTATGCAGTAATCCAAAATGTGTCTTAACTGACAGGGAAGGGTTACAAATGAGAGGATATCAGCATCCTATTCATCTCCGTGCTCCCACTCTCCATCTAGTATTCACAGTAGAGCTGTCAAGGAGCCGTTCCAGGGCTGACAAGTGACGGTTTAAACAAGCAAACAAAAAATCTCCAGTCCAATTGCAGGTGACAGTATATGAATTTATAGAACATGGCTCAACATAAATAAAGAAAATAGTTTGAGGAGCACATAAGTGGTCCACTTTGCGAAATAAGGTTTTGATCACATCTCTCACAGGCTCTCATATAACAGCCTGCCCTCAATAGCAAGAGATAATATATCTTCTGACGAGGTGGATGAAATATCTTTTTTTTCCTGAGCCTCTCTGTGGTGTTCATTAGAGATACTGTCCTCTGCGATTGTTCGAGCTAATACACAAGGCTCTGAAAGTGGAACAGATAGAGCCTGCGACACATGAACCTTAAAGAAAATGTATTTTCTCCATGCTGCTGGACGCACATCGAAACAACTCGGAAAAGCTGCAAGGAATTGAAAGTGGGTTCAACGTGACAAGAACGAAATATCTGCATGTATCTTTCATGCGTTCTCGTAAATATTAGAATATATAGTTCTGTCACAGCAGATAAGTAGTTCACTGGGCCGGGGATATTCATTTTCCATAGCCAGGACACTGATGTATGGAGTAGGTTTAAACGACGAGGGTCCATTTCACAGCCACTGGCTTGGTAAAACCAGAGAGAAGAAACCCAGATTTACAGGATTACGATCCTGTGTTGGATAGGTTTTGGTGCCGGTACAAAGGATAACATCCCTGTGTTCCCTCCAGAGGGAGTATCTCTCCCACACACTCCTCTTTAGTGACATCACGATAGGCGCGTTCACACCGCAGTACTTTTCCCACTTTAGATCCGATATAGTTCCGAAATATCGCGTTCACACCAAAAAGAGCCGGAACTAAAATTAGTTCATGAGAAACTTTTGACCCCCTTTTCCGTCCCTGCTAGAGAGCAGGGACTTTCGTGGGAGAAAAAGGTTCCTATGTCTGATTGGCTGGGCGGATTGCAAACCACGCCCCGTAAAGCTGCCATTTTATTATCCTTTCATTAGCATTATTAGCATTAGCATCATTAGCATTAGTCTAATGCTAATGATGCTAATGCTAATAATGCTAATGAAAGGATAATAAAATGGCAGCTTTACGGGGCGTGGTTTGCAATCCGCCCAGCCAATCAGACATNATACCTATATAAGGCATATTTATACTTTTTGTTTTTCAAAATACCAAACAGATCATGCATTTTAGCCATTCCTCATTTCGCTCAATTTAACACTGTCTTTGCATGGGCTGATTCTGTGAGAACAGCACCATCTACAGGCCCGGCATGTGTACTACAGCGTCTCCAGCGCTTTCCAACGGCTATGTCCGTGGCTGTCTCCTCCTGATTGGTGGAGTTGGCCCAATAGCCGTAGCGCCACTTCTGTGACGTCATAGAAGTATTCAAATCTGGATCAGTCTGTATCAGATCCGTTGCAGCCCCTTTTTAAGAGATTTGGGTATGGAGGAGAATAGAGAGGGTTGTGTTTTCTGACACTTGGTGAGTTCCCTGGAACACCGGGGACACATATTCATGTATAAAAGACGTACAAAAGTGCATTTTGCATGATAGGTCACCTTTAAGTTACACTAGGTTGTACACTAGAAACTGTTAACCCTTGTTTGGGAGTTGTTGGATGAACTGTTGGATAAAAACCTGCCACAAATCGATAATTTTCCTTAATCTAACTTTGCTTTTAAATCACATAATTTCCACACTCAATTCACCAGATCCACTTTGTTTGAACCAGTCGGACAGCATCCAATCAAGTTGCAGCGTAAAATAACTGATGTTAAATTTTTAGTGATGTACTATAACTTCATGTTCAAATAATTGTTCTTCTTTGTGTCTCTATAAGTTTCTCCTACGAGCACAGCCAAATGAAGCCTGTCATGTCCTGGATGTCCCTGAAGAAAGTGCTCAAGTGTCTCCTGGCTGGTTCTCCTTTGCTGGAGAAGATCTCCCTGGTGTCCCTCCCCTGCCCTCTGAACTGCGTGTTACTGGGTGTACTGAGCGTTTTGGACTTGAACCTTAACCTCTTTGCAGAAGCCACAGACTCACCTCCCATGCCACTCGCACGGTTACAACGCATTGACATGCCGCGGACTGATGTGGAGATGATAACAGTGAAAAGCATTATGCGACGAAGCAAGAGACTTAAGAATGTAGATGTGAGTTACTGCTGGCAAATCAGTAACTTGGAGATGGTGGACTGTAAGATGTCCAGTGAAGTCAAAGTTGTCTGGTTGTAGTGAAGAGATGGTCAGCTTCCAATAATGGAGCTGCATTGTTAAAGGTGAATGAATAATGCTTTAAATTATTCAAATAAAAATACACATTTTGTATAGTGTCAATTACATTTGTATTTCAACTTGTATCACTACAACTGTACTTTAAAACGTTTGCCCTGACAGTGAATGGGCAATATGCTAAATATGTACTCAATACATGTCAAAACTGTTCATTCTTATAGTGCATTACATTAATAACAAACCGGGAATTCTCCATTTTGTTTTGAATAAATATTTGTATTATTATGTTTTGCATAGCTAATGATGAATTGATGCAGAAAAACAATGTCCAGTACACAAACATATACAAATACATTCATATGACACTTTTTCTAAGACCTCAAGTACAAAGTCTTGCAAATGTATTTAACGTCTACTGCAGTTCAGTTATTTACTTCAGAACAGTTATAACTTAGAACAGTAAAGATACTTATGTTATCTAGTACTTATATAATTATGTTTTGATAAAGGGACCTTTTTGGGTGAAGGAGGGATGTCAATCCAAATAGACGAGAACAATGTTTTACGCAGTATTTTTGCTTTATTTGGCAATTATTTTAGACAGTTTAATGCCTGATCAGAATAGATTTAGATATTGGATTTCTTTTCTTTTCTGGGAAGTCAACCGGAGTTTATGTTTCCTACATTTTGAAGTTTAACAAAACAGCATCTCGGAAAAAATAGATTTCTTAGTTATTTGTTTCCTGATCTACGTGCCAGCTCCTAGGTGGGGCTAGTGCATCTTAATCATGTTTGTTAACCGAAATTAAATGGAAAATACGAAGAAGTAATGGTGGGCGGTTTGGGATTTTGCTGCTTGTTATCCGGGCAACGTGGAGGCAAAATCCAACGCACCGCATCAGAACCACGTCACTCACCGGAGACCTGCCACATACTCGCTAAAACATTAGCCAGCAGCTAGCATCTGGCTGCCCAGAAATGTCGATTTCTCCAATAAAGGAGGGACTTTCACTTATGAGTTAGTAAGTATGACATCTTTTAAATGCCTCGAACATATCACTGTGCTGTTTTGACACTGACGATGTGTAGAAATGTGGTAATTTTAGCTATTTTAGCTCGATGCTAAAGCCAAACACTTAGCATAGTGACTCTCCACAGACGCTACGTACTTAATCTTTACAGTGTTTGTCCAGCTTCCATTATATCGGGTTGATTTCTGTTTAAATTCGTTAAAATGGGTCATTCAACAGGTAACAAGATATACCAACCACGTGAGAACATTCTGTCCAATTATGAGAATTAGTCTGACAGCTTCGTGCGACCTTAGGCCATTCTCATAACAAACCCCTCAGACAGTGGTGTAAAGGAATTTAGCAACATTAACATGAATAATGTGAAATATAATCAACATTTAAATAAGACTTTAGTTACACGTGGAGAACATTCACAAGCTACCCTGCGATATAGAAAGTCATTAAAACTAGCTCAACCTTTACCAGCTGTTATGAACACTTTAATGATCAATCATTATAATCAAAACATATTATATATTTGTTTGAAATGGGCCAATCTGCATTATATACATGTATATTTAGATGTATTTCTACTTTTACTCAAGTGCATTATCTTAGTACTTCTCATTTAGCATATCGACATTTCTCCCTAAAAAGGTCATGGTGAGAAGTGAGGAAAACGGGATGGAGCCGTGGATCAAGCCACATCTCACATCTTCAGCTGACTGATTAAATCTCCAAACCAACTGCACTAACAAGAAGAAAACAATCCCCATCATGGGAAGGTGGGTCTGTCAGCTGTCGTTCGTGGGAATGTAGATTGATTGTGAACTTTCTCATATCTCTGACATTTTTAAGGATGCTTTTTTCACGGACTCCTCTCGTTACTCCATTCTATTTCCATGTAAATACTGCTATAGTTTACTACATTTTTTATTATTTGTATTATTATTTTAAAATAGTTCTCTATCTGTGTTTTAAATGTTTGTTTGACTTTTATGTATGCATCACCACACCAAGTCAAATTCCTCGTACGTGTCAACCTCCATGGTAATAATCCTGTTTCTGATTCTTATCTGTTGGCAGGATCAGCTTTTCGTGCCTTTTCCCAGCCTCATGGCATTTCAGCCTGTCTTCCCTGTTTCTTCCTCGGCTCCTGACACCTTCCCTCCGACAGCTGCTCTTCATCGGCCTGCTGCTCGGCCTCATTGGACTGCTTTACCTGCTGCTTCTCTCAAAGGGGCACGCCAGCTGGCTCAGAGAAGAAAACCACTTTCACAGGTAAACTAATAGCTGCTCCCCAAATCCGTTGTTACATTAAACACAGGCAGTATCGTCTTAACAATTCTTCTTGTCCAAAAGGCACTTGGCAAGGGTGACTGATGTGGATGCAACAGATACAAGTAATCCCGATCTAAACTACGGCCTGGTGGTGGACTGTGGCAGCAGTGGCTCCAGGGTTTTTGTGTACTGTTGGCCCCGGCATAATGGCAATCCCCATGAACTGCTGGACATTCAGCAAATGAGAGATCAACACCGCAAACCAGTGGTCATGAAGATCAAACCAGGTTAGTGCCATATTAAACCATATGTTATGTAGAATATGTAAGAATGACTTAAGTGTTACCACCGTTTGTTTGAAGACAAATTCTAACATGCTAGCTCATTCTAAACCCCAGATAAAATATATGTTTGGTCGTTATCTTTTGTCTTTGTAGGTATCTCTGAATTGGCTAAAACACCAGAGAAAGCAAGTGATTATATCTATCCATTGCTGAGCTTTGCAGCCCAACACATTCCCAAAAATAAGCACCAAGAGACCCCCCTGTACATCCTGTGCACAGCTGGAATGAGAATCCTTCCTGAAAGGTACAGTCTGGCTAAATGATCGTCACCTTGTAATGTTAACCCTCCGATAACACGTGATGTAAGTGAACGCTTTGATGTTTTACACACCACACTTTTTCTCCAATAACGTTTGTGCTTTTGTTAAATCTCAGTCAACAAGAAGCTCTTCTTGAGGATCTGCGAACTGACATCCCGGTCCACTTCAACTTCCTTTTCTCTGATTCTCATGTGGAAGTGATTTCTGGAAAACAGGAAGGTAAATGAAAGGAATAATAACGGTAGACAGGATTCAAAAAGGATTATTTCAACTTTAATGTGTTGCAGTTTTATTTATTTATATATCACTTTATGAAACATTTTAATTATGTTAAGAGATATTTAATACTAGGGATGCTTCGATCGCCAATTTTGGGGCCGATCGCCGACCGAGTGGGCGGGGCCTATGGGGATCTTCCATTTAAAGCAGGGATGGGCAAATGGCGGCCCGGGGGCATGCATTTTTTAATTTGTAGTGCTGATACCGTCCATTAGACTCCTAGTTACGTCGCGAGCCGCATCCATGATTTCGTTCGGCAGCCAAATACCGCAAAATAATCTGTGACGTGTTTGTGTGTATTGTGTTTGTTTCCTGGGAAACACTCACAAGAAACACCGGCTGTTGTTATGCCTGGGCCAAACAAGTTTAATATTCTAAAAACCAAGACTTTGTTTATTTGAAATCGGATGAAAACAAACTGTCACAGACCCTGCCGTGTTATCTTACTACGGTTTTCATTCATCATTTCAGCGGGACGGAGGGGGAGTGTTGCTGAGGTACAGCAGAGTGCGGGCTGACAGGTGTCTGTGTTGACATTCCCGTTATTGTGGAAT